CAATACACACATACACATAAAATAAAAATAAAATAAAATTTTTAAAAAAGAAGAAAAATGCTGGATTGGGAGCATAAAGGACATTACCAGAGAATTTAAACTAAACTTGGTATTTTTCATTATCTGGTCATAAAAACCCTCCCTTCAAAGTAATCTAAACCAGGGCTGTCTGAGAGATGGCTCAGCAGTTAAGAACACATTTGCTCTTCCAGAGAATCCAAGTTTGATTCCCAGCACACTAGTCAGACAGCTCACAACAACAACCTTTAACTCCAGTTCCAGTGGGGTCTGACACCTCTAAGGGCATCAGCACTCCCATGCACATTCCCACACACTTATACATAATGAAAAATAGTAAGATAAACTTTTTAAAAAGAAATCTAAATTATATTCACAGTTCCATTTCATTCAAGGCAGAATAAGAAACTAGAAACTGGGAGTGTTGGATAGCTACAAACATATTAAAGACTCCAAGAATGGCAATTTCCTAACTACGGTCTCTTAAAACTATTAAAGTGACATGGCTGTCCCCAACCTCACCTCAGGAATGTAGTCATCTGCCTGCTGCCCACTGCCACGCCTCCTTTGCCATGATAGACTCTTATCCCTCTGGACCTGTGAGCCAAAGCTCTTCAGTAAGTTGCTTTTGGTCCTGATGCTTTATAAAAGCAACAGAAAAGTGACAAGAAATTTACTTTGCCACACATTTTTCTTGTTAAAAATAAAACAAGAGTAAACTTGGTGGTATAGTCCTATAATCCCTGTACTGAGGCAACCTGGGCTATATAGTGAGATACTATCTCAAAAATAAATGAACAAACAGCCAGACATGGTGTTGATGCATTTAATCCCAGCATTCAGGAGGTAGAGGCAAGTGTATATCTGTGAGTTTAAGGCAGCCTGGTCTACATAGCAAGTTCCAGGCTAGCCAGGGCTACATAGTGAGATTTTTGTCTCAAAAAGACAACACAACAATTTAAAAATCTTAAACAGAAAACTTGTTCTAGTTCTTGAATTT